CCTGATATTCACTAGAGTTCTCAACTTTTCTGTGCAACATAAAGGTGCCTCGCTCGCTCTATTGAGTTCACCCGGGGCAATTGGAAGGCACCATCACTGATTGTTTTAGTGGTTTGTTGTTGTTGTTTGACAATTTATTGTCACTTATGAATGAGGTATTGGTTTCTCACCAGGCTGGTAATTGCAAGTCGAACAGTTCAAAATTACCACTTGCTTCAGTGGAGAAAGATAAGACTTTCTACTCCTGTAAAGAGTTAGTCTTGGAAACCCATAGGGGCAATTCTACCCTGTCCTATGGAATAGCTATATGTTGTCATTGACTCGGCAGTGAGTTTGGATTGATTTTCTATTTCCATCAAGATTTACAGCCTTTGAAACCCACAGGGGCAGTTTTACTCTGACCAGTAGGGTCACCATGAGTCGGAATTAACTCGATGGCAATGAGATGTTGTTGTAGTTTGGGGGTGGATAAGTTTGATGGATAAGGACCAGGGCATGGGGTTGGAATGTCTCCATAGAGCTTGCCAGATGAACGGCTGCTGCATCTCTACCTTGAGTTACCATTCTTCTCCTCGCCCTATTTGATGTGCGTGTGTTTGCAGCCCACTCAAGCCATATGGCACCATCAGAGAAAGACTGTCTGCTGTAGAGTGTTGTGAGTCCTGTGAGCAGGTCTTTCCCACCTAATTGTGTTCATCTAAGCAGGGAAAGGGCTAAACCTCACAGTGGTAGCACATGTGCCCTTGAAAGCTTGGTTGAATGCCAAAGACAAGATTACAATCCTTTGGGAAATAACGGAGAGCCCTTTTCAGTTGGGTTCTCAGGCTTTGTGACCCCATAGAGTCTCCATTTAGGAGCCTGTTGTAGTTTAATAAGGTTATTTCACAGCTGGTTTTGTGCTCTTTAGTGTGCAAACTAGTGGTTTACAACCAGAGGCAGTTTTGCCCCCCAGGGGACATTTGACAGAATGTCTTTGGACATTTTCAGTTGTTACAACTTCCCAAGTGGCATAAATTAGCCATGCTGCTAATTGCCCTACCATCGAGAAATATCTAGCCCAAATTATCAGTCATATTCAGGTTAAGAAACCTTGGTACAAGCTATTCATCCAGTAAGGAATGTACTATGTGGAGATTCAAAATGTTGAGTCCCTTGGGCAAATCTTGCGAATGGTTTGTTTGTTTCCCTGCCCAAAGTTCTGGGGGCACACAAGCAGGGGTTGCATGATTAGTAAGTACCTTTGTACTCAAAAATGAGTGCAGAGAGGAGGTTTTGTCTGTGTTTGCGGCTGCCAGAAGAGCGCTCTTGAAGTGTGAACATGCCTTTTAAGTTTTTATTATTGCAGTACTATTTTCACAAAGATATTTTTAGCCATTCCTCAAAGTAGTTAATTACCAAGAGATAAGCAAGTAGCCATAACCCACTTCTGACTCCATGGTGCAGGAGAGGAGAGGCGAGATTGTGGTGTCAGGAGTGTGATCAGATATAAGAACCCCCATCATGTGTACAAATGGCAGAAGTAGGCAGACTAGGATGCGGGCAAAGACCCAAGGCACTCAATATATGTGCGAAAGATGCAATAATATGGTTTTTCTGTCTGCTGTGTCTTCTCTCCCACTGTGTATCATTTCTGCTGTGATTGTCAACCTGCATTGCACCTGAGAGTCACCTGGGGAGCTTTGAAAACTTCCAGTGTCTGTGCCCCCTTCCCCTACAAATTCTAATTTGATTGTTCTGGGATAGGACATGGGCATCCGTATATTTTAAAGCAACAGTTCTCAACCGGTGGGTCTCGACCCCTTTTGGGGGGAGTCGAACGACCCTTTCACCGGGTTTTCCCAATTCATCACAGTAGCAAAATTACAGTTATGAAGTAGCAACGAAAAGAATGTTATGGTTGTGGGGGGGTCACCACAACATGAGGAGCTGTATGAAAGGGTCGCAGCATCAGGAAGGTTGAGAACCGCTGCTTTAAAGGCTCTCTTGGTGACAATAAGCGCAGTCAGGGCTGCGAACCGCTGGTCTAGATCTTGTGCACGGAGAAGGAGCAGGGAGCTCAGGTTTCCCCACACTTTTAGCGACTGTCACCCTTGGGGCTGGAGACTGCCGCGGGGGTGAAAGGACAGAGCAGACACCTCCGGGAGGGCTGGCTTAAAATTTTTTTTTTTGCTTATTGTAGAAAAAAATAAAATTAGAGGTCTGTTCTTTTCATAAGGGGTTGGCATCTGTTTCTCCAGCTCTAGCCTTCAGTAGTTATTTTTTTTAGAGGCGCTTATGTTGTGTTCCCCTGAACTTTGAGGGAATCCGTAATAAATTAGCACTGCCTCGGGTAAAAAAGCTCCTTTGCAAGTTAAGGAGAGAGAATTTCAAGAATATAGGTTGCTGCTTTTGCCATTTTTTTTTTCTTTTGAAGCACAAAATAGAGCAATCTTCATGAAAAAAACAATCCAGAAGAGAGAGAGAGAGAGAGAGAGAGTGTGTGTGTGTGTGTGTGTGTGTGTGTGTAGAGTTGGAACATTTTATAGTAACTAATGGCAACAACACACCACAATGGTGAGATGGATTTTTGAAGAGAGGAGGTAAATGTTTATATTGAGGATACAGTGGTTATAAATGCCTTTGGCTAATTTCCTTTTTTCCATGGTTTGCTTTCCAAGTAGTTCCAATTGAATCTAAACGCACAAATAACTAATGACGGCGTTGATGCTCTATTCCCAACTGCCAATACCAGTGCCATTGGCTGCTTTCAAAAGTGGGCTTGTCAGTCTCGTAGTTCCTAAACTATACTCAAGCAGCTCTCTAATGTGAGAATGAGATTAGCCCATTACCATGTACTTTAGAACCCACCAACAGATGTGGCTTTCTTACTATGGAGTTCAAATCCCTAAATGATTTTTTATTTTTCATAATTGTCAAGCGATCCAAAAGAAATGACCTCATTAATTGTGCTATGGGAGAGATAATCACCCTCCCATATTCTTAACACCTGTTCTGTTCATGCACAGGCCTTTGCAAACATTTTCCTTCTACCCAAATCCTGAATCGATGCTGCTCGGTGCTGACCAAGAACTGGATGGCCAACTGTTTCTAACAGACCAAGTTCAGAAATTGATAGCAACTTGACATTCTCTTGACATCTTCCCTTGTATTTTTATCAAAGTGTCAGTCTTGACTAGATTAGCGGGGAAACACCCTGACTCTTTATTACCAGTTGTTTGAGAAGCGTGTTCCCAGACATCATTCTTGCTGCTCATTCCTTTGCTGTTGGCTTAAGTGTCCCCATTGTTGGAAGCTGCCTGTAACTGCTCAGGCTGAAGTTCAGTCCCCTCGGTTGGACTTGGTTCTTCTTCTCCATTTATCACAGTTTCAGTGTGATCTTGGGTGTCTGCTCCCCTTGTGGTTGTCCTCAGGCACTGCTGAGTTGCTTCTGTCTCATACTGACCCTCTGTGTCGGCAGGGAGCTGCCCCAAAGGAGCCCTAGTTATACTCCATATGGAGTGGCTCACTGGAGCTTTCCTCCTGGGGAGCTAGCTGCTTGGTGAGTTCAAACCACCAAGTTTTCAATTAGAGCAGCGGTTCTCAACCTTCCTAACGCCGCGACCCTTTCATACAGTTCCTCATGTTGTGGTGACCCCCCAACCATAACATTGTTTTCCTTGCTTCTTCATAACTTTAATTTTTGCTACTTTTATGAATTGGGCAGCCCCTGTGAAAGGGTCGTTCCATCCCCAAAGGGGTCTTGACCCACAGGCTGAGAACCGCAGATTTAGATGGTGATGCCCAACCATTGTATCTTCAAGGCTCCTTCTACTTGCCTTGAAAACCAAAATCAAACCCATTGCTGTTGAGTTGTTCCCAACTTGTGATAATGTTAGAGGGCAAACACAGCTCACTCTGCCACCAGGGCTCCATGGTCCCCTGAGTGCAGTGGTTTTCAACCTGGGGTTTGCAACCCTTTCACAGGGGCCACCAGATTCATAACAGTGGCAAAATGACAGTAATGAAGCAGTAACGAAGATAATGTTATGGTTGGGGTCACCACAACATGAGGAACTGTATGAAAGGGTCACAGCATTCAGAAGGTGGAGAACCCACTGCCTTAGTACATATAAACTCCATGGACTATTTCCATTTTTACTCATCCTTGCCATCCCAGTGTTTGACTTGATAAATACAAGGGGCTTCAAAAGGTTTGTGGGGAAATGGAATGAAAAGCAATGGGATTTTGGAAGCCTTCTCATGTATGTTCAGTGAACAGTCATGCACATGTTCTCATCAGCCCCAGAATCATGGACAATTCCTCTCCTCCATCACTTTGTGGGAACTCTCACTCTGGTCCACTCCCTCAGTGCAGCCCGTGCTGGCTAGGTTGAGGACAGTAATGAGAAAAGGACTTCGATGCCATCTCTATTTTGTGACTCCCTGTAGGTTTCCCGAGGTTGCCCTTTCGCTTGACAGTAGGTTAGAAACTTTTTCTTCTTCTAGTCATTAGATATAGTTTCCCTCAGCTTGTCTTAGAAAATTGTCACATTTTTTTTCAATTCAGCATAATTCAAAAGTACTTTTAATTACCAGAAATACAAACGATAGGTGCATTGTTCTGCTAACATCAATGGAATGATCAATTAGGTATAATTTAGTCCCATTTTTTAAAGAGATGACTAATCATTTGTACTTATCCAAAGAGTTGATAAGGAAAGAGTAGAATTCCTTAAACTCTCTGCCTCAATCTACTCAAGGAGTTGGTATCTTCCTCACAGCAATGAGTTTTTTAAAATTTTCTTCCAACAGGAGTCCTTGGGGATCCACCAAGGTTTGGGTTTCTTACTTTAGGAGCTGGAAGAAAGTTTGGAATTGCACACCCAACTAAACTCCAAATCCACAAGCAAATAAACATTTTGTGTCGGACATAACCGTTGCAGCATAGCGAATGCGCTGGTTGGGTTCAGTTACCTTTCTCGGTCCAAACTCATTCTTCTCTGTTGGGTCGTGTCCTTCAGATGGAGCATCGGCATCGGAAAAAAGACACACCTGTGCAGGCCAGCAGCCATCACCTCTTTGTGCAGATGAAGAGCCTCATGTGTTCCAACCTGGGGGAGGAGCTGGAAGTCATCTTCTCCCTGTTTGATAGTAAAGAAAACCGCCCCATCAGGTGAGTGCCACAGAGCTGGGACTTGCCTCCCTCCACATTGGAATGGTTTAGATATGTTATAGGCAACCATTCAGGTATATGACCTTGGACAAGTCACCTTTTGCATCAGCCTCGATTTTCCCACCCAGATGACTCTGTGTTTCTAAGCCGCAGACCCTCTAGAGATTTCCGTGTGGATGAGAGGAGAGGATGAGTGCCCCGATGCTTCAAAAATCTTTAAAAGGCTATAGAATCGTCATCATAGGTTCCGAATGGACAAATGGTACCACCGAGATCACGGTTAGTGATTTGAGGCACTCTGTATTTTGAGGTTTTATATGGTGCAAGGAAGACATGAGATCTCTAACTCTGTATAACACCCTGTATTGTTTCAAATATCCAGTCAACAATTACATTGTTCTTACTTTACCTGCAGCTGTGATACTGGAGGCTGTGGAATTTTTGGAAACCTTTCCATGGAAGTTTTAGGGCTGTGGGATGAGAGTTATCACGTTTCCTGGCCTCTGACTCTTCCTCTATTGCAGTTCCCCTACCTATGGCAAGCTTTTAATGCTTAGGAAAAGGCTTATAGTGAGTGATTTGCCTGTTAGCCCAAAGCAGACATTATTTATTTTGTTTTGTCTTTTTAAGCAGAAATTCTTGTTGAGATGGCGTTTATAGTACCATCTTTATAGTACCAATTTGTTTTATAGATGAATATGCCATTTAAAAAAATCAATAATTTTTATTTAAATGTTGAAAGTCGAATAAATCATACATACTGACTGCTGTTCCTTGCTTATTGCAAAATCATTTTATTTTAAAATGCTCATAATTTTTAAAGTAATATTTACTCAAATATGTTATAGGAACACAAATAATCTTTGAAGTATGTTTTTCCTATGCATTTATGGCCATAGATCTTGGCTCAATTATTTGGTGAATTAGCACAGAGAAGCAGGTTAGCCATCACTAACTAGGAAGTGGAGTTTCTCTCGCCTAGCAATAGGGCTGCATCCCTCGAATTTAGAGGGCAGTGATTTTGAGCAGTAAAGACAATTTTGTGAGGTATGGACATAACAATGCGAGTCCAGTTTTATAATCTACTCTGTATCCTATTAGAGAAATGACTCTGTGGCTTACAAGTCCTTTCTCCCTTCACAAATCGACGCTTCTGAAAAGGGGAGCTTTGGGCATGAGCAAGTGACCCAGGCAATGGCTAGGCACTGGCCTCAAAAACGTGAAGGAGCGTTGAGAGGTAATTCCTGCTCAGGGATTGGAATGCTTCTTGAGAAAGCTTGGTTAGTGGTCAGTTTAGTGTGACAAAATCTTTATAACTTTTCATAGTGTATGGTCTCTTTAAGTCATCTAGAAAAATGATATGGAATGCCAAAAGAGGAAATGAGTGTTTCATTTATTTCTATAAAGCTAGCGTTTTGGAGGAGTCCAAATTGCCCATTGCCACCGATATTTAAAGAGCATACCTTTGCCATTGAGTGCTGGTTTTCATTTTTATCTCAGTTTTTGACACTCATAGACATTGTATTTAGTTCCCCTTGCCTTATTCTATTTACTTGGTGAAAACAGGCAGGTAAATGGATTCAGGATCCCTGAAATATTGTCATTGTGGTTCCCAGGTTCAGGCCAGGGCTGGACACTGTCCTGTCCTGTAAGGTGTTTGTGCTACCAAACTTGCCTGCTTTGACCTGGTTTCTTCTCTCTCTCTCTCTCTTTCTCTCTCTCGCGCGCTCTCTCTCTCTCAGTATTCTTCTCTCCCCATTTTTTATGCACACACACAAATAAAACTTTCTCTGTTCTCATTTTCTTTCTCTCATACTCTCTCTGTCTGCTATACACCCCCCCCCCCCACCCCAACACACATACTTTCTCCCTCTCTCTCACCATTTTCTTTCTTGCTCCCCACTCGTTCTCACTCACTGCCCTGTAGTATCCTTACAGCGACCAGACCTGGAGTGATACTGGGAAAAACTCCCCTGCTTTCTGGCCACTGGGTTTGGCTATCTCTTATCTTTCAAGCACACAACCGCCATCCAAGGGATTGACAAAGAATGAGTGAGAGTAGAAACATATTCTTACTAGGTGTTGGGGAACATCTCAAGTTTATGTACATGCTGCTTCTTTGGTCTCATGCAGCCAAGAGGTCTTTTTCTCTCAGCAGTTTTCACCCTTGCTCTGTGTAGTGGGTGCAAGCTACCAGCAGCAGAGGCGGCCTCCCCCGGGAAGAAGCTGCAGGACTGGCTGGGTTCGACCTGTGCAGCTGGCTGCTGCTGCCCTCACCCTCACCCCCTTTCCCTGTCCTTTCCTTCCTCTTCAAACTGGTGACCGTTCCTGCTTCCTTCTTTCTGGGTGGCACTGCGAATCAGTGGGGAGTAATCATACCAGCTCAGCATATAAAAAAACAAAACACAAAAACTCACTGCCATCTACCCCATCCAATCTTTTAGTTTACCTTCCTTCCCTGTGACCTTGTAGGACAGGGAAGAACTGTCCCTGGGGGGGTTTGAGACCATAGCCCTTTGTGGGAGTCAAAAGCCTCGTCTCTCTCTCTCAAGGAGTGGCTGCTGGTTTCAAACTGCTGACCTTTCGTTTGGCAGCCTGACTTGTAACCACCACACCACCAAGGTGCCTCTTCTCCACAACCGGATCCTAATTTAAGATAGGATTTTGAGGTGCAGTTGTGTTTTTTTTTCTACCCACCAAGGACCCCTTGGTTGGATAGTGGTTACAAAGCGCTCCTCAGGAGAAAGGTGGGGCTTTCTGCTTCAAGGGCAATTTTCCCGCGTCCCCTAGGGTCTCTGTGAGAAGAAGAAGAAGAAAATGGATCCAGAGGGGAATTATGCACTATGTATTTTCTTCAGCACTTAAGTTTAGAACATTCTAGGCAGACACACAAAAATAAAATAGTGTTATGTTCTATTAGGTATTCGCTATCAGTTTCAGCAGTTCTGGAGTTAAGGCTGGATTGCTGCTGGCCACACCCACTCCCCCATCTTGCTCTTTGACCCCAAACTATACTGAGACAAAGCTCTGACATTATCTCATTTTAAAATATATTTCAGGATTTATCTTGAAAAGAAGGGAACTTAAAAAAAAAATTTACCGCCTTAGGAGAATGACCTCAGCGTCTTCACATATCCACATGGAGTCATTACTCAGCTTCCTTGCAGTGACTCAGAGAAAGCTTGGCCAATTGTTCAGTCACAATCAAACGAGGTCTATGTGTTGTCACTATCGATCTCTGAAGTCACTTTTTAGCTGCCGCTTCCCTCTCCTGTCTCTCCCTCTCCCTGAACTGCTTTAATTTGTGGCAGCATTCAGGGCATTTGGTTTATTTATTTGTTTGGCAGTTCAGAATCTAAATTCTAATTTCAAACCATGGAAATCAATAATCAAAAGATAACAAAGTTAAGGAAATGCTGCTGTTGTTAAATAGGAAATAGGTTCACCATGACTGTAATTTACACACAATATATAGCTGTGTGTGTATATGTATATATAAACTAAATATAATCCCTCTGTCATTGTCTGGGCCACCAAACACAGGAAGTCCCTTTGTCCAGGTGCAAGTGACACGGGTTCCATTGTTGTTATCAGGCAGCTGACTGTTTCAGACTTTTAGAACTTTTCTCTTTTCAGATGCAAGCAGCTACCATATATTGAGCACTAACCATCTGCCAGACTTTGTTCTCATTGCTTTAAATATCTTGTTATTAAAAGCCTGAGCTTATGTAACCAGCAAGAGGACGAGAGAAGATCCAAACCCTCGCGCCTGGCCCCTCACCACTGCACCGTTGGACCTTTTCCACAATTACTCCTTATAGGCTTCTGTGCTTGCCTGAAAATGTCCATATTTGAGTAGAATTTTATTGGCCAGGCCCAGAGCGTCAAAGACTGATAGTCTTAATAATTATTATACATTATTGGTAGTGATAATATTGAAAATAATATTGGGCCTCAGAAATACTCTGTGTAAATTGGTGTTTCACACAGAGTTCTTTTCATAACAATTTTAAGAAGAGCCAAGTAGGATCAGCTTGTTTTCTACACGGTAGTGAGTTACCAGTTGGGCTGTTAACCACAAGGTCAGCAGTTCAAACACCCCACCCGTCTCATGGGAGAAAAATGAAGCTTTCTGCCCCTGTAAAAATGTACAGCTTCAGAAACCCACAGGAGCAATTCTGCTCTGCCCAGACAGTCCCTATCAGTCAAAATCAATAAAGAGTGTGGGTTTTCTTTTTGAAAGATCAAACTCCCGGAGTTCAATACAAGGGGGCTTCATAAAGGTTGTGGAAAAATACAGGATAGATAAGCCTATAGAGACTCTAAGTGGATTAATAGTTACCTAGGGGCATGACAGGGGAAGGTGGGGCAAGTGGGAGGCTAACAATAATGAGTATGAGAAGAAAGTGTTCTGAAATTGAGTGTGGTGATGATTGCACAACTCTTCTTAATATGATTGAACTATCACATTGTATGATATGTGACGTACCGTCTATACAAAAGCTGCATTAAAAATGTGCTGAAAAACTCGGCTTATACAGGAGTAGATCTGGTATATGTCAATAAAACTATTTTCAAAATAAAAGGAAAAGAGAATGGACTTTTTGCACAAACTTTTTAATCCCTCTCGTACTTGGAGATGCCAAATAGAAAAGAAATCAACATGTGAGAGGCATTTCTCTCCATTCACTCAACCCCCATAACTACTACAGCCACGAGAACACCATTGAGCATATAATTAAAAAGAAAAAAGACACCCAATCAGCACAGAGTCAACATCAGAGCAGAACTGTGCTTCCATAGGGCTCTCAGTGGCCAGGATTTTGGAAGTGGTTCACCAGGCCTTTCTTCCCAGGCACTTCCCCGTGGACTTGGACATCCAGTCTTGTAGTTAGCAGCTGATTGGCTTGTTCCCACCACCCAGGAACTCTACCATAGACCAGGTAATATCTCCTGTATTCTTCTGACAGAAATGTACATGACATTGCCTTAGGCCCTGT